TATGAATTACTGTAAAAACTAAGCAATTTCTAAATTCTATTTATTTATTTATTATATTTATTACGTGCAATGCTATAATGTTAATTTTTAATTTAAATACATGCTAATTTTGAGTTAATACCGATTCTTCGGCTAAAAATCTATCTACCAACTCTTCAGGTGAGTAATCCATATTTCCAGGATTATTTGATATACTAGTGCTATTTACCAGTGTTTCATTTTCAAAGCTATACTCAGATAAATCAACAATCTCACAAATAAGTAATGTATTTTGTGTACATTTGAAGTTTTCAGAGCTTTCTTCAGAAGACAAGTCCTCTTCCAAATCCATTATTTCAGCAACTGCAGAAATATTAACTGCATCCCGTAATTCAGTTTCAGTAAGTTCTTTTCCATAATTATTAAGTTCAGATTTTATGTTTGCCATATAATATGACCTAATTTTCACCATGCTTTCTAATTTATCAACAGTTAATCGCACTCTTTTATCACCGATCATCCATTTTAAAATGGAAAAATTTCTTTCGCAACCTGCTTGCGATGGAGAAATAGAAAAAAGTCGACATGCTAATTCAGACAAGTGTTTGGGTTTAGTTTTTATTGATGCCCACCATAAAATTGGTGTATCCATTTCGGGTATATATGATAAATCATATGGAGAAAACCCTGTATCATAACATCTAATTTGTGTAATTAATTCTCGACCTTCTTGATCTGTATGGTTAAGGGTTTGCCAAAGAGAGGTAGCAATAAGTGCTGCCTCTCTGAAACCTCCATCTTTAAGTCCAAACCCTAAAATTGAATTTTTTTTAAATTTATATAAAAATCTAAATAAAAATAGTAAATAAATAAATAAATACTTACCATGATAGTATGGATGTAAATAATATGATAAAAGGTAAATAGGATGATAAAATTCTTTAAATCTTCGATTAAAAATCTTGATTGCAACTTGTCTAAATGGGTTTGTTGAAGAAATTCGATAGATTATCACAGCAAGTTTGATTAAATAATTAAAACAATCGGCTAGATTTGCTATGCTATTTTCTACTATATTTATAGTATCTTTAATTGGTGTCCAGAGAGCTTTAATTTGGCGACAGGATGTAAAAAATTCTTCATCAGCCAATAGCATTAGAATTTCAGAATTAGAAATAATATCTTTGTGTTCTAACAATATCTATACAATAAATAAAATATTATTTTTTATTTTATACAAAGTAAAAAAATCAAATATTTATTTACCCAATCAAATACAGGTCTGGCACGTAATATGGAATCTGTAGTAAAATATAACGAAGCCCAGCGAGTTCGACACCATGTATGAAGACCTTCTAGTTGAATTTTCATCTGACTTAAACCTTGTCTTAAATATGAATTACCTCTATGTGATTCTTTAAAAAATTTTACAATTTTATTACATTTATTAATTAAATCCTTGATGTTATTTTCTTTAACTAGATCAGATGCAATTAGATTAATTGCATGTGCCATGCAGCGTATATCCCAAATATGAGAATATTTTGCTTGAATTTTTTTTCTTGCAGAACGGCAATTAGATGCAGCATCAGTAACAACTGCGGCAAACTTTTCACTTCCAATATCTTCAATTAAGTTGGAAATTTCTGATGATAAAAATTCGCCTGTAAGTATTTCTGATGAATAATTCTTTAATTTTAAAAGATATTCTTTTTGGTCTATTGTAGATACAATATAATTATAAATCGAATCTGCACGTGGAGATGTCCAACCATCTAACACTAAAAATTATATAAAAATTAAAATATAATACATATATACAATAATTTATATTTAAGTATATTAATATACATACTTATGGTTAAATTATTACAATGTTCAAGTTCTTTATTAACCAAATTTGTTACTCGTGCTACTTCAACTTCTAAAAGCCTTCCCGAAAGTATAGAACGTGATGGTGGGTCATACTTTAATTTTTTAAATAAATCCTTTATAAAAGGATTTTTAATTACTTCGAATGGAATTCCTGCCATAACCCACGCTTTTAACAATGATTGATCAATCTGGTGTTTTACTTCTGGAGAAAAACAATCCACATCTTGTAAGTTATTTGTTTGAGTATGAACTATATCAGTTTCCTCAATTAACTTTTGATGCCAATAATTACTAATATTTTCGGGGCAATTCTCACAATGATTGGCTAAATGTGCTTTCATAACTTGTGGTTTCCCACGTTCCCAAGCAGCCGGACAGTGATAACAAGATGCTTTATAATGTCCATTGCCTCTACTAGAACCTTTTAAATAAAATGTCCAAATTTCATCAAAGCTAGGTCCACGGATTTTTTGTTTTTTATTTGAATGTGTTGAAACAGATGTATCATCTGAGCTTTCACTTTCATGATCCATCATTTTTGTTGAGAAAGACGTAAAAAATGAAAAAATAAAGAACCTCTATATCAACATATTATTTACGTAATAAATCAATTACTAATGTACATATAAAGTTTATTTTATTACAATCTATAATAAATCAATTACTAATGTATATACATATAAAGTTTATTTTATTAAAATCTGTAATAAATCAATTACGTATGTACGTACGTATGATCAGGTATAAATTCTATTTCGTTGTTACAATCTGCATAATATACTACATATTATACTACCTACTACATGAATTACAACCCACGAAGCAATATTTTAATACTACCGCAATTACGACCCACGTCAATACTACCAAAAAATTACAACTTCACTACAAATGGTCGTAATTAATTACCTCAATACAACAACACCACTAAGTTATAGTATACGTAGAAATTTCACCTTCTAAGTAAGGTACCTCTAGGTGTGGGATTATTTGGGATTATTTTGCATAGTGACTGTTGGTGCTTCTTCGAAGATAGAGACGCGGTTAATTTTTATTTTTTGCTTGTGAAATGTTACATTCTTAAAAAGTACTTTAAACTGTATAAATACAATTGAAAGTGATTGACCAATCAGAAGAAAGTTATCCTATATAGTATGACTGAAGTTAATATTGAATGTCCGGGTCTTTTTGAACGGTCGCCGGGCAGACCGACTCTAATCTAGCATATAAATCTACGTATAATGCAAGAGTTACTTAAAGCGGTCGAAGTTACACGAGCAGGTGTGTAAATGTGAGGGAGCACCAATTAGATGGTAAAAATAAATCACGTGAAAAGAATTTTTGCACATTTATATAACGAAAATTTCAAATTTTAGAACCCCCTCTCTCACGATAATAAAAGATGGCACACGATCAAGTTTGGTTCTCTCGCCCTCGTCGCTACGGAAAAGGCTCCCGAGAATGGTAGTTAAATGAATAACTTTTAGTGGTTGTTGAATAAATAGTGATGAAAGAACCTAACATTTATATGCATTTATATTTGCTTAATTGTAAAAAAAAAATAAGTCGGGTTTGTGCTCACCGAGCTAGTTTGATTCGCAAATACAACCTTAACGTCTGCCGTCAATGCTTCCGTGAATATTCCAAAGATATTGGTTTTATCAAGGTATTGATTGATTGATTGAATAAAGCACAAAAATCGTTTCAAAGAATTATTTAATCACATAATCTTTTACTAATAGTATCGTTAATACCGAGGAACCAGTTTTGGAGCTTAATTATTAATTTACTTCTTGAGGCGAAATCAATTTCAACAGTGTTAATGCAATGCACCCAAAATTCTTTGAACAAATAACCATTTCGCAATAAAAAAATCTTTTGATTTTTTTTAAAACCAAATTCAAAATGACCCAATATTATATTTATTATATTTCTCTTGGTATCTACCCCTTCCTCTCTTCTTGCATGGAAGATTCATCGTATTGCGAGATTGTTCGAAGAGATTGATATATTTTGGACTAAAAAAAAAAATCACTTGTGTTAATAGCGACACTATATCAGTAGATTCAATTTGCTACATACTGAACATTACTACAATTTGGTCCCTGAGGACAAAATCCCGTAATGTACAAAGGGCATATGATACGTCGAATATGTTTGTTTGGACAAACAGGCCCTTAAAAAACAAGATAATCAATTACTTTCAACATTAATCTTTATTATTATAAAATAACATTTATAAAGATTATTAAATACCGCGACTACAAAACCCCCGTATGTAGTCTCCGCATCTTCTACGTAGCTTAATCCCTTTATTATTCATCTGGTGAGAAAATACACACATAACTCGACTACATTTTCCATGAGCTGTGACATAAAGAGAAAATCTTTTAGATCCTTTGCTATGGTTTTTTTTCACCTGATCCAATTTTTTTGAATATAATTCATGCCTTTCATCGTAGGACATATAGGCATGTTGTTAAAATCATAAGTATGCAAATATGAACACTGATTACGAAAGCAGATTCCAATTAACCAATGTTTGCAAACAGTTTTTTGACCGTCTTGTTTCTTATTTTCATCTGTTTTATGTTAAAAAACAATCGAATATCATTATAAAAAAAATGAACCATTTCAAAAATGATAAAATAATAGATAGATTACTTGTCTTTGGTGTTACTGGTTTAAGAATTCCGTTCGCATAGATAAAAGATTCAAAATCGAAATTTAATGTGCGAAAATTAGAATCAAAAAGATTTGGGGCCATCACAAATCAAAAACAAAAAAAATTCAACGTGCAAGATTTTGAAGTGCAAAGGAAATATACCTTGGATTCGAAATACACGTCGATGGAATGACAGAAGCCACATCTACTTGAGTCATTACGAGACCATGCAAGTATGCAGACTTTAATACTCGTTACGTATTAACTGTCAGCACATTTTTTATTCGATTCCACATTAAAAATCCGAAAAAAATTAATCTGAAAATTTAAAGTTCCCGCATATACTATGCATAATCGAATAAATTATGCTTCCTTGTTAAATTATTCGTGAATTATATGTTGAGTCCACTTTTTTGATCTACAAATCGATATATAAATGTAAATTTTACATTTTAAAAAAAACATCCCTAAACTCATAGCCATGTCCCAACAAGACGTAGAAAAGTACATCTTTACGATCGTTCAACTTTTTTAGATCATTATACGTGTGAGAGCCTTAACAATAATAATATCATTTTATAGGCTACGAGAAGAATCTATTGACGAACATGTTCAAGAAACTCTTGATAAAATAAAAGATGAGGACGACGAAGAAAAATTATTTGAAGAATTAGAAAACGATGACGACTTTGAGATTGCAAACCTTCGCGAACGAAGGATGGAACAAATGAAACAAGAGTATGCGTCTGACAAAAATTATAGCGATCTATTTCGAACCGATTTATTGGTTTATTTTATTCTTCTATGCGTTCAATGAGCAGAATAACAAAATTACAAGAAATGCGTCAAAACGAGCATGGTTCATACACTGAAATTTCGGAAGAAAAAGAGATTCTTAAAATAACTACCACTACAAAGCTATGTGTTGTACATTTCTTTCATAAAGAATTTCGAAGATGCCAGATTATGGATAAACATCTTACGGTATGTTTTGGCATGTTTCATTAAAAAATATCAGATTAATTCTGAAATTCCATTATTATTTTCATTATTATGAACAGACGATCTCAGCTCATCATTTTAAAACAAGATTTGTAAAAATAAATGTCGAAAATGCACCTTTTTTGGTTGAAAAACTCGCAATAAAAGTTTTGCCTTGTGTTATATCCTTTGTAGACGGAATTTCTGTAGATAGGTTGCTATTTTATAATTTTATTACAATTCGAACATGATGTAAAATTCGTTTCTACTGTTTTATTTATACATGTCTTGTTTCTAGGATTATCGGTTTTGATGATCTAGGAAACACTGATTCGTTTACAACAGCAGCACTTGAATTTCGATTATCTCAAAGTGGTAATTAATTTTTTTCCTATATAAAATGGGATTATTGGTTATTTTTCTAAGTTTGAACTTATTGGTCGTATTAGGTGTCATAACAAAACAAGAAGCACCGAAAAAGCAAGAACGCAAAACTATATTTGGATTCGCGGATGTGAATAACGATGATGACGATGATTGGGATTAAAAATGCTGTTAGACACTTTGTATCATAGTGATAGAATAATTTAATATTTTATGACTTCATAGAGACGTTACTGTCGATGATGAAACATATATACAGCATTCTAACCTTGAAATATATATCAACTCGGTGATACCACCGTTTAATTTAATAAATACCATTTAAGTGAATCTCTTTTTGAGGCTTTCCTTCGGTTATAAATGCGTTAACTTTCATGTAGTCGATTAGCATAGGGAAAAAACTAATTATTATCATAATTTGTACCGGTGACATCCGCATAGCAAATAGAAAATCTGGGACAGGTTACGTTAACTCCGAGCACTGAATTAATAATTTTTTCATTGTATCAGTCATAAACTACCTCAAAAAAGTTGCAGTCCCGTGACAAATGTGGCGCATTGCAGATCATCAACCAATTTTTTTTTTTTTACAGTCTTGTTAGTATCTTTATTTACAGTATGTTGCAAAAAAACCAGAAAATTTTTATATAATTTAAATTTGCATGATCTAAATTTTTTGTTTTAAATTTTTAATTACTAATTCTTATATAAAATTTAAAGACAAAAGGTATATAATAAATTTTAAACAATTTTTATTTAATATTATATAATTAAATATTTGTTGAGTATTTATCAAACTTTGTGTAACTAGTGTGGCTAACGTGGCCTATAATTAATATAACTAATATAAGTAAAATAGTTAAAATAATTAATATAATTAGCTATATAGCTAATATATAAATATTAAAAAATTTATATTAAAAAATTTTAATATATTTAAATATTATACAAATAAAGAATAAAATAAAAGCTTTAATCTAGTTTTAGTTAGTTTAGTTGACTTAATAAATATTAATATAAGTTTTAATTTTAAAAAATAATAAGTATTATATTATATTTATTTTATTAATTTTTTTAATAAATAAATATTTATGGTTTGGTATATCTTCTATGACTAGCAAGAGAGTTTTACCAAATAAATGATATTAGCATAAATAGAAAGAAATCTGAATTATTAGTTTTTAACAAAAAGACTAAAGAGGAAGAAGAAATAGAAATTAGAAAAAACAATGAAAAAGTCTAGTATAAAAGAGATAAAGAAGTAGCAAGGTTTCTTGGTATCTGGGTCTCAGTAAAGCCAGCACAATAAAAATAATTAAAAAAAAACCAAAAGAGCTCAAACAAATAGTCTTGTGAAAAAAGATAACAAATAGCCAAATAATATATATTAACAACAAAGTACTTATACCCAGAATCAAATACAAAGCATAGGCAACAATACTGAGCATAAACATATATAAGAAAATATATGATAACTTCCTCAAAGTGGTTAAAAACAAATACAAACTAGCAACAAATACCTTTAATGGAGTAATAAATTATAATAATATATTAGAGATACAGCTTTTATAAAAATCAGTTACAGTATATCATGTAAACAACTTTATGATTAGAATTAATAATATAAACATACTAGGGCAATTAACCCGAATAAGAATCAAGCAGGCCCAATTGAACAATAAAAATACAAAAAGTATTCTAGGTCTAAATAAAAAGCAAACAAGTAGCCTAAATATGTCAAACAATCTAAATGCATATGTAATTAAAGAAGCACGAAAGATAGGCTTTAAATTTAAGAGTAATGCTTTTGAAACAAAAGTACTTATTATAAAAAAAGAAACAAAAATATATAACCTATTTGACTCCAAATATAAACAAGCCTTCTATAAAGAGAATAGGCTCAACCTCTTTATTTTAGAGCAGACAATTGAGAAGAGCAGAACATGTATGTTAAACTGGGTTTAAATTAAGAAAATATAAGGAATAAAAGATTCTGGAAAAAAACTTACCTAGTTTAAAAATTTAGAAATAGTAGTTATTAAGGATATAGAGTCAAAGACAATTAAAAAATCATTTGATATCAGATAGCCTAATCTTTTTATAATCATAGCAAAACTAGAATATATAATGAAAGACAATAGAAAAAGAGAATAGATTGTGTTTGTTGACAAATCAGAAGTAGTAAATCTAGACAGAATAAAAAAGAAAAAGAAGACAGAAAAAGCCTTCGAGATAAGTTACTAGATAGAGAACAAAGATTACCTGGGAGGTGGTTTGATAGTTTAAAAATGTCCAAAGTACAATCTAAATCAAAAACAAAGTAAAGAAGAGTATGTTTTTAGCAAAAGGTTTAGAAGTGTAAAACAGGTCTTACCAAAGTCAATTTTTGCATCTAATGAAAAAGAAAAGCAATATATAATGAAATTAGATAATTTACTAATGCAAGTAAAAACCAAAGTTAGATATCTATAAAAAAAATTTCCAGAAAGTGTTAATAGAGGCACTTGAAGAAAAAATTATATCAAACAAAAAGTAGTCCAAAATATTCTTAAAGATCTCAGCAAAAAAGCAAGAAGAGTATTATTATAGATCACTTATACAGATGGGTCTCTTAGAAGATCAGAATTATATCAAAATAACAGCAACTACATGGGTATAGGTTGAGTAGCATACTCTAATCCCCATGAAAAAAAATATACTACTCCAAGAATCGATTTTAATAGCACTCTGCAAGACTAGCCATCATCTACAAGGGCAAAACTTAAAGCAATCGCAACTTTTTTGTTTGTCATACCAAGAAAAAGTAAAATTAAAGTCTATACAGATAGTGCAAATACAATTTGGCTTATTGAACAAAATTAAGTATAAAAGAAGAGCTAAAAATAAGTAACAAAACAATACTTGAAGTAATATGCAAATATATTATTACCAAAGAGATTGAAGTTAGCTTTATAAAAGTCAAGACCTATAGTAAGACAGAGGAAAATAAAAATACAAATAGGCTTGCTAACAAAGGCCAAAAAAGCAAGTGTATAATCTTGTTTAAGCCTGGTCTGACTAAAGGCATTTAAGTAAACCCAGTGTGAAAGAGTTATGTAATAGATTGACCTGTAAGAATAGTAGTAGATAAGGTGACCAATATGATATATGATATAGAGTAGAAGTATTTTATAAAAAAAGAAAATAATTTTAAAAGTAGCAAACTAGTAGAAGAATATGAATGGAGAAAAATATAGGGCTTAATAAATAAAATAAAAGGCCAAAGATATCTAAGTATGAAGCAGAGCAGTATATAAACCTTTTAAGCTAAAACCCTAAATTAAATATTATCTATACTAACATATTTGTATACTAGAAACCCAGAAGTTTATAAAAGTAATACCTGCATAGCATGTTTAAAGAAGCTAGAAATGCAAGATTATCTAGCAATATGTGAAATATATGAGAGACTCTGGGAAAGACTCAAAAAAGAGGAATTTCAAGAGGCAAAAAGAAGAAAAAAGGCCAAAGAAAACTTACCAAAGTTGATAGAATATCTGCCAGATCTTGTAGAAACATTTTTTAGTAAAGAAAAAAATGTGAAGCTAGAAAAGAAAAAAAAACTTATTCAAGAGATAATAAACAAAAGCAAGAATAAGGAAAAAAGAATCGATCTAAAGAAAATACTTCAAATTTTCTATAAAAAATTTTATAAATGAATCTGGAAGTTTTGATATAAAGTCATTATAAAGTGAGAAGAAAAGCAGAAAATCACTTGCAAAAAAAAAAAGAAATACAAGGAAGGCTAAGAGAGAAGAGTAAAAAAAAGAAACAGAACTCAGATAAGCTAGGTGAAGAAAAGTCAGAAGTGTCAGAGATCAGACAAGAGATAGAAAAAGAATTATATAAAGAAAAAGCACAAAGAGTATACAATGAAGCAAAGACATACATAGTAAACCTTATCAGAAGAGCAGTTAGACTTCTTTGAATATCTCTGACAAGACCAAGCAAAAGTGAATAATAATAATCTTGACAAGCTAACAACAGGCTTTTGTTGATCTTGCAGACAAGCTCTAGTAAGTTAGAGCTCTGTAAAGAAGAAAACATGTTGTTGAGGCAGATCACACTTAGGTGCTTTTGATAACCAAGTAAGTCTTTATTGTATAAGAAATAGTAATAACTAGAAGCAATTTTAGTATACAAATACATATATAAATATAGTATCTCTTGAATAATAAAAGCAAGATTGCCAAAAAAAAAAATAAATAAATAAATAAATATTTAGTTATATATTATAAATTGTATAAATTTTATTTAATTTTAATGATACTGCTATATTATAGTTATATAATTTTTAATTCTGGTTTTTTTTGCAACATACTGTAAAAGATAAAATAAATACAAACCAAGTTTTATAATTTATTTATTCACATATAGCAGGTCTAGCATTGCTTAGTCTTTAATATAGTTAACTACACAAGTTAAATGAAGGCAAATCGAGCACCAATTGGCATTACATAATCCTAATATAAAACTGATTTGAAACAAATGTTTGGCACAAATAGGAGACTTTTAAGATACAAATCAGGTTTATAAAATATTCAATATATATCAGAATGCCAATAGCTTTATAGATAAATCAAAAAAGCTATAAGGCAAGCTTTATCAATTTATCTATAAAGCTATCAATATTTCAATATGTATTTTAAAAGTCTTCTATTTGGGCCAAATATCTGTTTCAAATTAGTTTTATATTAGGATTAAGTGATGCCGATTGGTGCCTGATTTGCCTTCATTTGACCTGTACTACTAGCACAATCTATTGCACTACTATTCTAGAAGAAGTAAAAAATTTTGTTAGCTTTATTAAAAATCAAACTTTTTAGTTTTTTTTTTTTTTTACTAAATACAGTCAGACCTCGATATAATCACCAGGTTGAGATACAAAATTTTGGTGATTATAAAAAGTTGTGACTATATAAAGATCAAAATTTATATATTTTATAATAGATAGATCAAAAAAATAGTATGATTATAACAAGGTTGTGACTATATTGAGAGTGACTATAACGAGGTCTGCTGTATAAAAAAAAAGTAAAATTCTTATATATATATATAGAAAATTTACAATAAAAAAAAAAAAAAGAATAAAAAAAATTAAAAAAAAACAAGAAAAAATAAAGA